CCCCAAAACCCCAAAACCCCAAAACCCCTAGATTCCTCCCCAATGTTGAAAAGGGTCCTACTAATTCCTTATCATAATAAATTATTTTACAAAAATGGATTTTTCAGAGAAAGAAGAAAGTGATGGTATCAGGTTCTCCTGGAATTACTGGCCCCATTCAAAAGGAATGCAAGCAGATGTAGTAGTCCCTGTATCATGTTTGTACACTCCCTTGAAGGATATTGAGGGAATTCAAATGCTTGAATACAATCCTATCTGATGCAGAAGCTGTAAAGGGATTTTGAATCCATCTGCTCACATTGATTTCAAGTTCAAATCATGGAGATGTCCCTTCTGTGGGTCTGAAAATCACTTCCCAAATCATTACTCTCAACATCTGACCGAGGTAAACTTGCCTCCAGAAGTTGTGAAGACATACACCACTGTTGAATATGTTTTGCCCGGATCTTCAGAAAAACCTGTCTTCCTTCTGGTTATTGACACCTGTATTGAAGAATCAGAGTTGGCAGAAATCAAAGACTCTGTTCAACAAAGCTTGACCCTCCTTCCAGAGGATGCTCTGGTAGGACTTATCACCTTTGGAAAGCATGTGTTTGTCCATGAGCTTGGATCTCCAGGATTTCCAAAATCTTACGTCTTCAAAGGAGACAAGGTAAAGACTCCTGCTCAGATCCAAGAAGCCTTGAAGATTATTAACACCAACAACCCAACAGCTGCTAGAAATCAGCAGAACTTAAAGAAGTTCCTGGTTCCTGTTGCTGACTGTGAGGTAAATCTGAACAACATCTTGGATGATTTGCAGCCAGATCCATTCCCAGTGCCACAAGGACACAGGACTCCAAGATGCACTGGCAATGCCATTGACATTGCAATGGGACTCCTTGAGTGCATTGTAGGTGTCAGAGGCTCTAGGATCATCACCATGGTTGGTGGCAACTGTACCTTCGGCCCTGGTAAAGTTGTCGACGAGAAACTTACTGTCACCATTAGATCCCATCATGATATCCTGAAGCAAAATGAGAAGACAGTTTACATGAAAGATGCCATGTCCTTCTACGAAGGCATCTCCACCAGAGCTCTTAAGAAAGGAATTGTCATGGACCTCTTTGTTGCCTCTGTTGATCAGTCTGGAGTCTTAGAAATGAAGAGTCTATTTGAAAGAACTGGTGGATATTATATCATGACTGATAGTTTCCAGAACCCAGTCTATAAAGAAAGTTTCCAGAAGTTCTTCACAGTTGACGATGATGGTCACCTTAAAATGGGATTCTTGGGTAAAATCAATATCTTCACATCAAAGGAGTTCAAATGAAATAAGTGCATTGGTGCATGTAATGCAAGTGGTGTAGAAAATATTACAGAATGGAATGTTGGAGGAATAGACAAAAACTCAAGTTTGGCCTTCTACTTCGATATTCTTGCTTCTAAGCCTCATAGCTCGAATGCTCACCCTCCTGTATTCTTACAGTTCCAAACAAAATATCAGCATTCAGATGGAAGTAACAGGATTAGGGTTACTACGGTAGCAAGGTGATTAGCTGCTCCAGATGATACTAGAGAACTCGCTTATGGATTCGATCAAGAGGCAGCTTCTGTCTTGATGGCAAGATATGCTGTTGAAAGGTGTAAAACAGATGAACCTCTGGATGTCATCAGATGGTTAGACAGAATGCTGATCAAGCTAGTCTCCAAATTTGCTGGATATAAGAGAGATGACCCTAACAGTTTCAGACTCTCAAGAGAATTCTCTCTTTATCCTCAATTCATGTTCTATCTCAGAAGGAGTCAATTCCTCCAGACATTTAATGCCTCTCCAGATGAGACAGTATATTACAGGAGCTTGCTACTTAGAGAGAGTGTTGCAAACTCATTGGTTATGATTCAGCCAGCTCTTTTACAATACACAACTGACTCTGATCACCCAATTCCAGTCCTCCTTGACTCAACTAGTATGAAGAGCGATGTAATTCTTCTGCTGGACACATTCTTCTATATCTTAGTCTGGCATGGAGAAAACATTATCCAATGGAAAAAGGACGGTTACCATGAAATGGAGGGATACGAAGGCCTCAAAGACATGTTCGAATCACCCAGAGAGGATGCTAAAGTTATCATTCAAGACAGATTCCCTACTCCAAGATACTACATCAGTAAGCCCGGAGATGGCCATGAAAGAAAGATAAAATCCAGGATCAACCCAGCTAGCGGAAAATCCACCTCAGACAACGACGACGAAAACAACATCTTCACTGAAGACGTCAGTCTAAAGATCTTCATGTCCCACTTAATAAAACTCGCTGTGCAGTCTTCCTAATCCACACTTAACACACTCTCAACAAATCACCTCCAAATCGGGGTTTTGGGGTTTTGGGGTTTTGGGGTTTTGGGG